ATATATTGGATTAGTAGTATTTTCTAAACTTCGAACCGCCTTATCGAATGAAAATGAAATTAGCAAAATTCACAATAAATTTAACATAAGTTACATATACAATATAAGGCATAGTCATACCGCGCCATAGATTGTGCCAGAAACACCACAAAGAAAATATGAATCTCCACCCTTCTTCAATTTTTCTTTAACTGTCTGTTTCACATGTGACATGGTTAATTCATTTCCATCATCAATTTGCAAAAAATTCTTACCAACCCCAATGGTAGGAACATCTGCCAATACACCCAAATGACTAGCCAATCCAAATTTTCTTGGATGTAGTATACCATTACCATCAACGATTACAATTTGAGGAAATATATTAGGATTAGTTTGTCGAAGATTTTGAAGTAATTCTTGTAACGGTGTGACTTCTCGAAATGCCAAAAATCCAGCAATGTATGGAAGTTTTAGTTTAACCATTTTAAAATTTTCATAGATTACCTTTTATTTTTATATTAAATGAGTATCGCTAAGGGAAAATTTCCCTTGGCGTCACTCAAATAAATGTCGGTAAATATATATATTTTTTTGACCAATTCTCAATAATTTAATAACTTGGTCTTTGCATGCATACTTTTAAACTTGGGTATTCTAAGACAACCAGTGAAGCTACTGCATCTTCATTATTATTTTCAATAAAACTTAAATCAACTCCACCTATATAATTTAATCCTTCGAATTCTATACATTGTTTTTTATTTTTTTCAATAATTTTTTTTGAAAAACTTAAATCGTCAACTTCTATCAATCTTGACCTTAGCTCTAATTGCTCTCTATTTTTATAATGAACAATATGAATTTTATTATACAGTAATTTATTTTAAGACTCAGAATAATTTATAAATTTGAAAGGTCACCTTTTCCAAGCATCTTGTTGTGCTGCAGAAGGATTATTGTCGAAACTCATTTTTTTTTATCGAAAAAAGAAAAAGAAAATGTTTGAAACTCATGCTCTGTAAGAAAATGTGCACGTGTATGTTTTTTTTTTTTTTAATTATATTGTGTACGGTGCAACTAACGCCAAGTCATTTACGCAATCGGAAAATTCTTCCGGTCAAATTTTTTATAAATTTGGAATTTTAATCGGACTTGTTAATTTGCAGGGCTACGTATGCATATGTTGTAAGTGGGAACGGAATTTAAGTGGATTTGGAATTTCTTAGAATTTTAGAGTTAGGGTATAGAATTTATATAGAATATAACTCTACCCCAAAATTATAATTTCATTAAAAAATACCAAATCCACTTAAATTCCGTTCCCACTTATGTACAACATAATTCGGCATCTAATTTTAGATAAAATAAGTGACATATTTCTTTCAAGATAAATGACTTATAAACCCATTTTTTAAAAGTATACACTTGATCAAAAAAAGTTAATTTTATCATCGGGTATGTCTAATGCTAACGCTAATTGATTTTTGATTGGAATTCTAAACCAGAAAATATGATTTTTTTTAAATTCTCGATTTTAAAATAAGTTAATTCTGAAACCTAATAATTTTCCGACTGCGTTGGATTTTGAAGATAAATAGTCATTCTGTGCGACTTGGAGTGAAATATATAGGTGAATTGGTTAATTA